CAGCTGAAATGTAGTCTTACATACATGAATGTAGTCTCAGATATACATACATGAATGTAGTCTTATAAACACTGACACACTTACATAAACTAGCTAGCCCACCGTGATAACTTTCCCCTTGACACCTTTTCGTTTCCATGGCAATACATCTTTGGGCGTGTTCTTTTTCACAGCCTCGATCTTCTTATAAAAGTCTGTGAATAGCGGCATCTCATTGCACTTATTGTAAGCTTCAACATCGTCCACGCCATCAACTCCGATGATATGTTGTTTCCGGATGAGTAGCTCAAGCACAAAACGTACCAGTGTGAAGTATGTCGGACAACCCTTCTCAAATCATACACGCCTTCTTCGATGCTTTTGTCACCCTCTCAAGATTTTCTAGACCTCTCTTGCCTTTTTTCTAATATTTCGGTCCAAAGGCCCCAAGCATTTCGTCTAAGTTGTCACCGTCATCTGCATCCCCCTCACGTGCCGCCATCATTGCGGCACCACTAGCATCATCACCACCTTGTTCATTGCCAAAGCCACCACCTTGTTGATTGCCAAAGCCACCACCTTGTTGATTACCATAGTCACGATCCATTTGTTGCTCAAGATCGTGCGTGAATCGGGACAAGTATGCTTGGGTTTCAACTTCATCACTAGATCATCGTCATTTGTCATCAACAACCACTGTTTCACCATGATGAATCCACACTATATAGTCCGAACAAATCCTCTTCTAATCAGATGTTCTTTGATGGTACTCACATCTCGAAATGCAATAAGGTTCTTGCAATCTTTGCAGGGACAAATAATCGTGTCGCTATTCTCTTTCAACGTCGCTGCATGCTTCTCTATGGCTTTGATGAATTTGTCCACCTCATCACGGAAAAGAGCGTGCGTGTGTCTTAACGAACCATACATCCAAGTCACATAAACACACATTATAGAAAGGAATCAAAATAAATATTAAATGATAATTAGTAGCCATGGTAGAGGATATTTTACACATTAGCAACAATTAAAATCTTACACATTCACCTACATGCAAACCCTAGTCACATAAAGGAAAAATTGAAAAGAAAAAAAAAAACAAAATCCTAGATCTAGATATAGGGTTTCATGACACATGCACCAAACTTCACTAATACTACACTAAAATCAATAAAGATGTACTAATAAAGGGTACAATCTTACTTTCCTACCTAATTTACCATAGTATAGTGAAAATTAGGGTCTAATTTCACTCATAACTAGCTCAAGCTCCATGGAAGAGAGAAAACCTAAAATCAAATCACTCACTAACCAACGAATTAAACTTAAATAAAGAGTTGGAGAAGCATTTCCTTACCTTTTAGAGCCTCTCCACCAAAGGATTTGAGATCAAAATCTCTCCCTTAGTAGAGCAATTTTAGGAGGAGCCCAAGGCCTCCTGACCTTTTTTGTGTAGAAGAGTGTGTCCCGAGGTGGAAGAAGGGGTGGTGCTATTTATTCGTGCCCCATCATCGGTGGGGCGGGTGGTGATTCAGCCGCCCTACACATCGGCACTGTAAGGGGCGGTGGTGATTGAGCCGCCCCTGAGACCAGCCCTCTAATCAGAGGGGCGGTGCCGTGTAACCCAGCCGCCTCTCAAGGTGACATCTGCTGCAGGGCGGTGGTGATTGAGCCGCCTCTGGATCAGCCCCAATCTGTAGGGCGGCTCGGGTTACCAGCCGCCCCTACAAGGACTATCTATGGGGGGGTGGGGCCGAGGACGCCCACTGTAGGGGCGCCCCCAACCCCAGCCGCCCCTATAGTAAAAATGCCCCCGTTCCTGCTGTAAGAATCTGGCGTAGTGTCGTCTAGGTCAAACGAGTGTTTACCCAACCTGCTATATTCTACATGGCATGTTGATGCAGTTCTTACGCAGCAGATGGGGCCCACATGTCAGCGACGTGGCTCCACCTTAGAAAAATATAGCTTTTTCATAAGATAAATCTTCAATGAAAATTGTAGCTCTAATCTACGACTTTCTCGCTTTGAGTGTTTTTATTTGAGATTATTAAGATGCTCAAACAAAGAATATAAAGTTTTAGAAGCATATTAATCACGTATGAGGGCTTGTCGCCTTAGAAAAATCATATCTTTCTTCTATATATCGGATAAAGATATTTTTGTATTTGATAATTATAGCTCTCGATGAGATCTACAAATTTCTAATTTTGAGTTTTGTCATTTGAGGTCTTTAATTAATATGCTCAAAACAAATAATATAAAGTTTTAACAACATATATTAATCACGTATCACGGCTTGTCACCTTAGAAAAAACATTTCTTTCTTATACTGTGTCGAATAAAGATACTTTGTATATGAAAGTAGTAGGCTCGATGAGATCTACAATTTTATAGTTTGAGTTTTTTTATTTGAAGTTTTTTATATTTTTAAATAATCTTTTACAAAACACGACCAATATGCTGCTGAAATTCTATATTATTTTTTGAGCATATTAACGACCTCAAATGACAAAATATAAAACTAGGAATTTCTAGACCTCATCGAGAGCTACAATTTTTATATACAAAGTATCTTTATCCTACACCATACAAGTAATATATGATTTTTCTAAGATGACATGCCCTAGTACCCGATTAATGTGCTACCAAAACTTTATATTATTCGTTTTAAATATCTTAACGATCTCAAATGACAAAACACAAAACTAGAAATTTATAGATTTCATAAAGAGCTATAATTTTCATATAAAAATCATCTTCATCACAGTTGTATAAAAAAAGATATGATTTTTCTAAAGTGGAGCCTTACCGCTAACATGTAGGTCCCATCTGTCAAATCCACGTAAGTGCTAAATCGGCATGCCCCCTAAGATAGATAAATACCCGTTTGGATATAGATGAGACCTGTTACAAGTTTAATGGGACAAAAATGCATTTTGAGACTTTGAGGACCTAGACAACATCTCCACCTCCTGAGGACCGACGTTGAATTGTATTCCTTTTCTTTTACCTTCGTCCATACATGCATGTTTAGCCTTTTAAAAAGACTATACACACGCCAAAATTGAGAAAGTTACAGATTATCTATTTCGGAACATTTGGGTACCAATACGAGTTTAAAATGTTATGATACTTCAAATGATGATGAGCCGTTCATTTAAGTAGATCCAAATAGTTAGGATTATCTATTACTTACTTGCGGGTAATAGGTGAAATATATATTTATTTAATTTTTATTTTTATAAAATGGGATAAGTAAAAAATGTTTTGGATTAAAAAAATCGAGTAAAGTGCACCAGCGGTCCCTAAACTTGTACCGTTATGTCATCCCGGTTCCTAAACTCGTAAATCGACGGTTTAGGTCGTCAAACTTGTTCGTCTATGTCATCTCGGTCCCTAAACTTGTTCGGCTATGTCATCTCGGTCCCTAAACTTGCAAATCGACCGTTTAGGTCCTCAAACTTTTTCAGTTGTGTTATCCCGGTTACTAAACTTGGTTTTGAGTCTCATCTGGGTCAAAACAGGGTGATCTAAAAACTTTATATCAAAAAAACAATTCATAACTTTTTCATATGAGCTCGAATGAAGATAAACTTTATATCAAAATTGAAGCCCTCGACGCGATCTACGACTTTGTATTTGAAAAGTTTTTTGTTTGAAGTCATTTAGTGTCCCAAAAATTAATTTTAAATTTCAAATTTCAAAATCTATAAACATATAATAATATTTCGGGACCCTAAACAGTTTTAATTCAAAAACTTTTCAACTACAAAGTCGTAGATCGCATCGAGGGCTTAAATTTTGATATAAAGTTTGTCTTCATTCGAGTTCATATGAAAAAGTTATGAATTATTTTTTGATATAAAATTTTTAGATCACACTGTTTTGACAAGACGAGACTCAAAACCAAGTTTAGGGCTAAACAAGTTTGAGGACCTAAATGGGCGATTTGCAAGTTTAGGGACCGGGATGACACAGCCGAACAAGTTTAGAGACCGAGATGACATAGATAAACAAGTTTGAGGACATAAACGGTCGATATGCGAGTTTAGGGATCGGAATGACATAGCGGTACAAGTTTAGGGACCGCTGGTGCACTTTACTCAAAAAAATCTCTCTTCTAGTTGTCATTGTTGCATGTGTGATTTGTTAGATACGATAAATCTGTTTCTTAACATACCATATTTTGATTAGTTGGAACATACCTTGTTTTATATCTAGAACGTTTTCCATACGTGTTCTGTATTTGATTAAGAAAGCAGGAATGTTTGAGGTTACTAGAGTGTTCCATGCTCGCTAGCGAGTCTGCAGCGAGACAGGGAGCACCCACCAAGCATCAACAAAGAACTATATATGGACTATACGGCCCTAGAATTGTGCGACCAAGCAAAAATATTAATATTTACGGTGCATAATTAGTATCACTAGATAAATCGTTAAATATATTTCCGTAATAACCTTATTTGGAGATTCAGATGTTGATAATATATTTTACAAATCTAATTAAATTTAAGAAAGTTTTACTAGAACAAACCTGGTAATTTTTTTTAAGTGATGTGTCTCCTTTCGTGCCACGTGACGCATGATGCTGAGAAGGAAGACGCGCCGCTGCCCTCTAATCAGGGATTTGGTGGCATTTTTATAGGTTATCTTATTTATTTAGTTATTTTATAATTTTTAAAAATCAACGGCTGAGATAGAGACTGTAGATGCAGTGCTAGTATCTCTTGCTGGTGAATAGATAAAGTACTGTGGTTAGTTATTTAGTTAGTTATTTTATAATTTTTAATGTGTGACCAATCAAGCTCCGCAGCTTGCGAGCGACTCAGTGGCGGAGCCACCGCCCGGCCACCCCGGGCGGCCGGCGGGCTCCTCGACAAAGTTTAGAAGGAAATTTTCTTTATAACCACGAAGAGTATCTGTAAATTTATAGCTAAATATTTTTGTATAATAAAAATTGTTCGGGCTCTAAAAGCTTCTGGCTCGGGCACTGCAGCGATTAATGGCAAGAACTCGATCACATGCAGGATTGCAGGGGCGCCCAGGACCAGGAGAAGGCTACTATCAACTTGCTTCGCATCAACGCGGGGAGGAACGCCAAGTGGTGGTACTCCGCATTCAACATCGTCACCGCCATGGTCGGCATCGGCGTGCTCGGCCTTCCCTATGCCATGTCCCAGCTCGGCTGGTATGCAGTGGTGGAGCTCGTCTATTTTTATACAACTAGAATTATTATTAATTATCACTTTGTCTATTTTTGCATCTAGGATTATTATTAATTAATTATCAAAGCGCGTATACCACTTATCACCTGCACCGAGTTAAAATATCGTTCACACGGGGCAAATACAAATAAATAACAAACTATAGTTCATAAATGGTCATATATATAATTGGTGTAGGAGGTGAAGAAAAAAACAGATTATAAGTCTTGGTCTTCTTTATTGTGTACTCACTCCGTCTCCAAAAGAGATTTTAGTATATCAAGTTTGATCAATTATAGATAAAAAATATAAATATTTATAATATCAAATAAATATCATTAGATTAATTACCGAATGTATTTTCATAATAAATTGATTTGGAGCACAAATATGAATACTATTTACTGAAAACTTAGTCAAACGTAAAACACTTTGGCCCTGTTCTCTTGTCTTATGAGCCGTACTATTTCAGCGAACGAACAGTGTTTCTCTCTCACAACAAATCAGCAAACAGTACTTTCAGCTATGGCTTTTCAGCAAAGCGAACATAGCCTTTAATTGGCACGCATACCATAATTGCATTCTTTTAGGGACAGATGTAGTAGTTCTATAAAAATTATCTAATAAATTAATGATTCATGGAATTGTTAGATCAAATGAAATTTAACATTAAAATATGGATTTTTAGACTAAAATAGAACTTGGATTTAAGAATAGAAATTTTATCAGGGTCCAAAAGCTGTCAAGTGAGTATGCGATGGCTGACGGGCAACAGGGTTCAATTTCGATATTAAATATTTTTTAGTCATCTATGAAATTATGGAAATTTATGAAATTCAGTTAAAATTTTGCCAAAATTTTTGAAAGACTTACACATGAGGTATCAAAAAAATTTAGATCTAAATAAAATATTGACATAATTTATGACTATACATCTGTTGAGTAAAAGAATATGTATTATTATCTCTATCAAATTATAGGCCGTCTTTGATTTTTTAGATATATAGCTTTTGCTATACACCTAGATACACAATATGTCTAGATACGTAGAAAAGTTGTGTATTCATAAAATCTAAAACTAACCTATAGATTGGAACTGAGTAATATAAACAATAGAAAATATAAATCTAGAGTGACATGTATTACTGTGATATACTCGTTCTGTTCCAAATTATAAGTCATTCTAACTTTTTGGGAGAGTTAAAGTATTTTAAGTTTGACCAAAATCATAGAAAGAATTATAAAGATTTATGACATCAAATAGGTATACTATGAAAATATAATTAACGAAGAATCTAATGATACTTATGTCATACCATAAATGTTCTTATTTTATTATATAAAATTGGTCAAACTTGAGATGTTATGACTCTCTAAGAAAGTTAAAATGACTTATAAATTTAGGATGGAGGGAGTAAAATTTTAGATTTCTCTTTCTGTCACCGCTAAAATTACCGGAACAGGGTCTCGGTGTCTAGGGTTTCTAGGAGATCTCGAGTACGTTGCCTTTGGCCGGTGGTTTTGTGGGATTAGATCCTCCCTCTCCTTCCCCTTGTTGATCCTGTGTTCCCAATCCTCCTGGATCAGATCTGTATCCACTATACTCTCTCGCACTTGGTGTCCATCTCACTCCTCGGTAACTAACCTGCTAACCCTAGGTTCCCGCTCCACCACAAGTTTCCCTCCAACTACTATGGACAAAGTGGAGGGGATGATGAGAGGTTTGCAACTGTCGGCGGCGGAGAAGAAGCAAGTGCGCATGGGCTTAGGATTGGAGATCCAGGGGAAGACGGGGGCTACTTTGTTGAAGGCGTTTGGGAAGTTGCTCTCAGAGAGACATGTTCGGCTAGAAGCAATCGAGCAGGTGACGGGATGGATTTGGTGTCTGCGGGGGATCGAATGTAAGGATCTTGGTGGCAATTTCTTCCTCTTCACCTTTGGCCAAGCGGTGGGAAAGTAGAAAGCTTTGGAGGAGGGGCCATTGATGGTTTCAAAGGAATTGCTGGTGGTGGCAGATTTTGATGGATCAAAGACCCTAGATGAGATCGTCTTCTCTTTCATCCCAATTTGGGTCAGAGTGGCGAATCTCCCAATGGGTCTTATGAACAGGCCAAGGCGACAGAGGATGAGGTGGGCGAGTCAAACGATCCACGATTTCTTCAAAGGGAAATCCATAGATACAAATCATAATAGATGAGCTTCGGAAGGCTTCGACACTGGGATTCCCTCCTTATGTGTTGACTGGTCAAAACATTCTCGATTTGTTTAATGTATTTTGGCTCAAATTTTAAACCAAGATGTATAAAGAGGAAACTAATTAATGGATTACGAATTTAGGATTGATAGATTTACAGAAAGATAGGAGGATTTGTGGGCCTTTGGGCTTTGGGCCGGTTGGTTTAAAATTTCAAATTGGGCTGAGTTTTTGGGGTGCCATGCATGACGTCATTTCAGGCATCATCGAATTTGACAGAATTCGCCGGCCTATTCGTCTATTCGAATCCTAGATCCTATGCTTGCTGATGAGGCTGAACATATCGATCATCTGTTGCTTATTGGAGTAAAATTTCAGTCATCTGTGACACTTGTCATGAATGAATAACACTATATAATTGTGTTATATATTCCTGTCAATCGCAGGGGCGCTGGTGTCACGGTGTTGGTCTTGTCATGGATCACAACGCTGTACACGCTGTGGCAGATGGTGGAGATGCACGAGGGCGTGCCGGGCAAGCGCTTTGACCGCTACCACGAGCTCGGGCAGCACGCGTTCGGCGAGAGGCTGGGCCTCTGGATCGTGGTGCCGCTGCAGCTGGTGGTGGAGGTCGGCGTCAACATCGTGTACATGGTCACCGGCGGCCAGTCCCTGCAGAAGTTCCACGACGTGGTGTGCGACGATAAGTGCAAGAGCAAGGACATCAAGCTCACCTACTTCATCATGATCTTCGCCTCCTGCCACTTCGTCCTCTCCCAGCTCCCCAACTTCCACTCCATCTCCGGCGTCTCCCTCGCCGCCGCCGTCATGTCGCTTTGGTAGGCACTTCATCTCTTTCACTGCTTGTTATTATTTCGTTCTTCTCTACCGTCAAGATCACTGATATGCTGGCTTGGGCGCATGGCAGCTACTCGACGATCGCATGGATCGCGTCGGTGCAGAAGGGGAAGTCGGCGGACGTGCACTACGGCCTGCGCGCGACGGCGACGCCGGGGAAGGTGTTCGGCTTCTTCGGCGCGCTCGGGGACGTGGCGTTCGCATACGTCGGGCACAGCGTGGTGCTGGAGATCCAGGCCACCATCCCGTCGACGCCGGACAAGCCGTCCAAGAAGCCCATGTGGAAGGGCGTCGTCGTCGCCTACATCATCGTCGCCGTGTGCTACTTCCCTGCCGCGCTCGTCTGCTACTGGGCCTTCGGCAACGGCATCGACGAGAGCATCCTTGTCACCCTCAGGAAACCCAAGTGGCTCATCGCCCTCGCCAACATGATGGTCGTGTTCTATCTCGTTGGCGGCTACCAGGTAGTTGGTTTCCAATACGGTATGAAAAAAAATTGGCCCCTGGCAATAAACATGATATTTCGTGAGTTTCAAAAATATCGGACCAAAAACAAATTTAAATTGGGTTTTAGAAAAAAATTGGCATCGTTTCACAAGAAAAATTCTCCAATCAATTATGTATCTGCTTCCTTCTTATTAATATAAACCGAACTTTCTGGATCTTTTGAAACAAAATTATATAACATAATATATCACATAAATAGAGTAGCAATAATATGGTGGACTAGCGGTGAGTGAGCTGTCTATGCTGATCACGTCGGGCACAGGATTGGAGTGAGGATTGAATGAATTTGAAGAAATTTTAGGCATTGGTTAGGCTAGAAGATATAGAGGGCTGCTTTAGTATGGTTTGATGTGATTTTAAGATACAAAATGAATTCAACAAAAAAATATCGGCTAAAAAAAAATTGAACCTAGCAAAAAAGTCCATATATTAGAAATTCGCCCAAATTCCACCAACATTGTAAAGTACGTCCCCATATGATGTACATGGGTATATATGTTTGTACATCAAATCAGTAGGGTACAAAATACTGTCATCTCTGACGGAATGAATGTTGTCGGTGGCACAGGTTCACGCAATGCCGATGTTTGACATGTTAGAGACGGTGATGGTGAAGAATTTACGGTGCCGTCCAGGCATGACGCTCCGCCTGATTGCAAGGACTCTCTATGTTGGTAATGTGCCACTGTCTGAACTGAGTTCATCCCAGTCTAAGTTATGAAAGCCTGCTTATTAGTCATTACCAAATGGGAGTCTCACACAGAGAAGTAAGACTGACGGCATGATGCCACCTGTGTGCAGCGTTCACATCGTTTGTCGCCATCACCTTCCCTTTCTTTGGTGCATGGCAAAGTTTCTTTGGTGGATTCGCCTTAGCCACTACAACTTATATTGTAAGCTCACAATGCTCCATTTACTTCATTTTATTGGTACAACGATGGATTGTTTTTGAGTTCTTCCCAACTCCTAATCAACAAGATATATGATGACCAAGTGAGGACCGAGGAGAGAATGACTGAGCACGAAAGTACGAGCGAGTGCCCGGGGGCGGCCGGCGGGCCGCAACCCCTGACCACCACGCAATCCCTTGCGCCGCCGCTAACCACTACGGCTAGGACGGCCGGCCTCGTCGGAGCCCCGCCCGTAGAGTCGCCTAGACCTGGCGTGGCGGAGGAGCCTCTGGAGGACGAACCCAGTGAAGAGCTTGACTGGGTATCTTTTTTTTCCCCCCCTTCTTCTTCGAACGGCTTGACTGGGTATCCATTGATGATGAAGACGGCGCTGTTGGACAGCTTTGCTGGAAACAAGGCAAAGCTTCGAAGCGTCGTTCCGGAAGCGATAGACGACGCAACTGCTGCTGTAGCCCTTGGGTGTGGAGACTGGAGAGATCTCATCCGGTTGCCTGCCTGTGGCATCAGCAATGCCTGCTGGTGCCCAGAAGTCCCTGCCCAATGAGAAAGACCGGACAGGTAGCATTCAAGAATCTCGACCGGTTCGAACAGGAGGCGGAGGCAAGGAACTGTAACGATCCGAGGCACTGTTGGAGGAACCGTTGTGCGTGCCATGTGTTCCACATTGAGGATCTGTTGGGAGGCCCAAATGAAATTCAAGCACCTGATGCCCCTCCTTTGAATGTTGGCTTTGTTGAACATGTTGCTCTAGACACGAAAAAGTTCATTTTACCTCCCTCCTCGAAGTTTAGTTTTTCTCACTGAACTCTAAAACCGGTTAACCACCTCCCTCAACTTTTAAACCATTTATTTTAACTCTCTGTCCTGGTTATAGGTGGTTTTCGAAGACAGTTTTGTCTTTTTGTTTAAAAATAAATCCAATAAACACCTAATGAGGTTTTAATTTTAAACCTCGAAAAATATCTCTAAGCTTCTAAAAATTCTGAGAAAAATACTAAAGATGGATTAGGACACGAGAAACCCAAATAATATATTTATATCTTTTGAAAATATCACTATAATCTTTTAAAATTTTGATTTAGCTCTAGGAAAATAAAAAAATATCAAAAAAATCTGAAAAACTACCAAAATATTCCAATTGATATCTAATTGCATCTTAAATGCTTTTCGCAACAAAAACATGATATGAAACCGTCATGAATGCATTCAACATAAATGCATTCAACATTAATATATGCAATGTTTTCCTAAACGGTAAACGGTCTTTACACGGTCACCCTTCGTTTAGCGTTTAGGTTGTTTACATGGTGTTTAAACGAAGTTAAACGGTCTAAACGGTTTTGTACTTTTAAAAAAATACATATAATTATATATGTGCATGTAAAAAATCAAGTATTCTAACATTTATACATATTTATCCGAGTAAAAATCAATTATTTTGGTATGTATATATATTTATGCATGTGAAAACAACCAAATATAGATATTTATGCACGTAACATATCAAGTGTTCACATTTACAAATATAATAAACTTAAGTATACAAATTTATCCATACAAAACTGAACTAGATTTACCTCGTGTTCGCCTAAACAGCCGTTTAAACAGCTGTTTAGCCCGTTTAATGCTGTTTATCTCCGTTCCGTTTAGACCATTTAGACCGTTTTTTTCCGTTTTTTGACCGTTTAAACGGTCAACCATTTAATTTCCGTTTACCCCCTAAACAAAGCAGTTTACCACCGTTTATCGTTTACTGGCCGTTTAAACGGCTGTTTAATCCGTTTAGGCAAACACTGAATATATGTTGCATTTATGTTGGTTGCATATCATATTTATATTGTGGAAAGTTCCTAAAATATGTTTATACATGAATTAGAACATTTTGGTAGTTTTTCAGGTTTTTTTTCATATTTTTCTATTTTCCTAGAGCTAAATTAAAATTTTAAAAGATTCTAGAGATATTTTCACAACATATAAATATATTATTTGGGTTTCTCGTGTCCTAATCCATCTTTAGTATTCTTTAGTATTTTTCTCAGAATTTTTAGAAGCTTAGAGATATTTTTCGTGGTTTAAAAACCTCATTAGGTATTTATTGGATTTATTTTCAAACTAAAAAAACAAAACCGTCTTTGAAAACCACCTATAACCGGGTCAGGAATGTAAAATGATTGATTTTAAAAGTTGAGGAAGATGGTTTACCCGGTTTTGGAGTTCACGGAGGAAAACTAGACTTCGAGAATAATTCGGAGAGGTAAAATATACGTCTTCCCTCCAGATATGTACCCGGTCCTGATTTTCCTCCCTCAAGCTTTGCCCCGAAGCCCACTACGGATGTCTATTGGTTATGGGCCAAATTCTTCGTCGCTACTGAAGAAAATTCTCGGCCCAGTCAAAAGATGGATGGATTTCTTCACTTTTCTTCTCATGCAACGCTCCTCTTTTGACCGCTCTTTTGACTAGGCCAAGAATTTTTTGCAGTCCCCTGCCTGGCGCCATATCACTGAACATGTTTCTAGTAATATGCTTCTCTTCTCTTTTCCTTCCAATTGCCCGTCCACTTCTTTTCTCTGCTCATGTTCATCCTCCCTAGACCAACCTGTTTCTGCAGACATCCAACTTTCAAGGGCAAAGAGGTAGTGGAATATTGTACCCCACCCACCTCCCCTATGCAACAGAAGGCTCCTACTTCTAGAGCCAAGCGTGGCAAGGCACCAACAATCTCTCAAACTAATCTCCGCAGAAGCCCCTAAGTTCATACTCGGACGCGCATTGGGGGGGTGGTATGTCATCTTCTTGCAAGGATAAGAATCGCATAGTGTGCTCAGTGAAGCCTCCCACTATCTCTCGTAAGGTGATTGTGTCTGAGTCCTCACTTATGAGCGAGGATGAAGCTGGATGTTTATTCCACTATCTAAAAAAATCTCTCGTAAGGTGATCAGAGATCTGGGGGGGCACCTTGTGCAACATTGATCTCGCTAATCTCTCTTCGGATAAGCTGATCCATAAATGTAAAGCCCACTGCGGTGGTTGGGACCAAGGAGACTAAGAAAAAGTCATCCAGGACCCGCGAAAGGATAAAGAAAAAGACAAGGGCTGTGGGTCCAAGTGATTTGTGATATCCCGTATTCCCATTCTCTCTGGATTCTTTAGCTATGCTAAGAACCCTCTTTTGTTGGTCGCTTACTTTGTGCTTTTATGGAAACTAGAGCTTGGAGTATACTATGTTGGAATGCGCGTTGTATTAACTTTGTTAAAAAGTGGAATTCTATCAGGGATAAAAAGAGGAAAGGAATCAGACCTGACTACTGACCGTCATTTACTGACCTGTGTTTTGGGTTTCAGAATGTAGCATGACAACATGAGAGCTGACCAAATCTTGTTTTTTTTTCTGCCAGCTTCCCTGCATCATGTGGCTCGCAATCTACAAGCCCAAAAGGTTCAGCCTCTCATGGTTCACCAATTGGGTAAGAACTAACCGACAATAATCCACCCTATCTTATCTGAGGTTAACCTGTTGTCGTCTAACTTACATGTGCTCTCCCTATTCTTCAGATCTGCAT